GGGGGATATATTTTTGCCAGGAGATCTATTGTTGTTGGCTGCAGGGGATCTATTTTACGGTTTTATCTCTCCAAATTACTTAGCACAACAATATGATACTTGGTTCTGTATTATCTAAAAGGTGTGGTACTGTAAGGTGGAACCAAGGGATGATGCTCAGAGGTGGGAAGGTGGCGGATACAGATGTGACTCAGAAGCAGGGAGTTCCTGCACCTATTATCTGAGAAAAAAAAAGCCCTGCTTAGACACATATGTATAATAAATAAACCTCCTGCACTTCTAGCTATATAATATCCACTCGAGCACCTGAAAACAAAAATCTCCATAGATATTCATATACAGTATACTGTTAAACAAGGCTGGGCCTTTGGTCAATATGTCATCTTCGGTATTTGCATCCTTGAATGAAGTAGTGGGTGGCACAGTGTCCATGGTCTGTTTGATGCAGCATCCGGGTACCAGGAAAAAGGAACTTTTAAATGTAAGTGTACACTTTGCTTTAATATTAGAATATCTTAATAAACGCAATTACACTATAGCTGAAGGACAGGAACAGGGGGATCTTTGACATTACAATAAACAAGCTATTGTAGACCCAGTTACTAACATAAGAGATCTGCAGGTCTGGTGCGTGTTTTGTGCATTGGAGGATGGAAGAGCACTAAGAAGGAGGTGCACTGTAGTGCTGACACATGGGAATGTGGAAGAAGCACTTGTTTATCACAGGAGGAGTTATATCACTACTTAGATAAATTTTTTATTTACTGTTGTTGGGATTGGAATTTATACACATTTATAATTCTAAAGCACAGTTTTCTGGATTATAGCAAGTACTTTTTGGCACTTGATGTAATCTCTGGTTTTTTATATTATGGAGCACAGATAATTGTTTTTTAGCATTCAGCAGAATTTTTTTGTTTTGTTTGCAAGATTTTGTCATTTAATATGTTTATATTTATATATTAATAATTTTTGGGATAAGAGGGTGTGTCATAGTGCTGCACTGCTTGACAACACATTGGTATAGTCTTATCAGTGTTATATCCTGCTAGGCTGATTTCAGCCCTATTCACACCATCATGTCAAAAAAAACACAGAAGCATTTTCTCCAAAGTTCATAATGAACTTTAAGGGCATTTTAAATGCAGTGTTAAATGTAGGATTCAACTCAAGATTTTACATGTGCTTTTTTTCCGGATCTGTGACATGAAAAAAAACACACACACACTAATTAAAATGTGTTATCATGTGTTATTGACTATAATGTAATACTTTCTTTTTTTTAACACAACACACAGAGGATTCAGCAAGTGTTATTTGTCAGAAATGTGATGCACTGTCATTTAATGCAATGCATTGATGTGAACAGCTTCACAGATTATAATGGCAACTAGTTTTTTTATATGTTTTTATGTGTTACATTTATTTGATTTTCTTTTTTCTTTTTAAATTTTACCATAACGCAAAAAGGATGCAGCAAAAATGTGATGCTCTGCCATTTAATGCAATGCATTGATGTGAACAGCTTCATACATTATAATGGTAACTAGGTTTTATGTGCTTTTTCTGTGTTACATCTATTTAATTCCTCTTTTTCTTTTTAAATATGCACAATCATACAGTAATCTAGGCAGCTGTAAATATTCATATTCTTTCATATTCTGAAACGCTGATATGAACATCTCATATAATATGCCTATTCCAGTTAAATGTGTGGTGTAAGTAATTTCTATTCCAGGATTAATCATACACAATTGGTCCACTTTAAAGTAACCATTATAAAAGCGGATAGAACTACATACCTCCTTAAAATGCTTGTTGCCTGGCTGCTTTAATGACCTTCTCACATTCTAGGTCACTGACACAGAAGAAGTGTGCAGATCAAGCAAGACAGAGCAAAGTTAAAGGTCTTTAAGTGCATGCTTGTCCCAGGCCAGCGATTTAAAGAGGAACATTTTTTAAAAACAAATGAGTCCCATATTGGATGTACATCTCCTGCAAAGTGGGGTTCATTCACACCAGATGGGCTGGGACTGCACTGGGCGGCTTTTTCCACATGACAAAGCTAAATGTCTTGTCTCCCGTGTGCCTGGTTCACATCACTGTGTGCACTGAAAAATATTCTGCTGCAGTACGTTTTTACAGCGAGGAAATATCTTTATGAAATTTCAATAAAGTTTGTTTTAAAAAAAAGTGAATAGCGTGATGCCGGACAACACCGCACACCAGTCGCTGCATTACAGTATGAATGGACTGCCTCTCATTAGCAAAGTACATGCAACACTTTATTTATTTGTGACTACTGTGCCTGCAATCCTGGACAGTAATTGGATACAATGTTACAAAGGTTTGCTACATATTTACCATGGTATAGGTGACAGATAATCCCCCCAAAAAATACACACCCACAATTAGGAAGACATCAGGGGTAGGTTTTATATTGTCACTGTATTACTTTAGAGCAGCAGAGGGAGGAATGATTGACGCAAGTTGCAAAATCATAGTATATTAGTCTCCCTGCTCAAGTTTTAGCATTGCCTTTCTGTTTGACAGAACTAATAAATCTCTTCCAAAGTACTGAGACAACAGGTCAGTATTGTAGCCAAACCATGAAAGGTTTCTCTTAGAGCTACCCACAGCATTAGAACAAGGGTCAAAACATTCTGACCAGTGGAAAAGTTCTCCTTTATGTATCCTTTAAAAGAAACCTGTGTTAGGAGACATAAAGAGGTTGTCATTGCTGACCTCCTTCTGAAATGCCAGTTCCCTGGCTGCCTTTAGCATCAAATTATTTTTCGTCACTGGTCTGGAACAAGCATACAACAAACAAGGCAGAGAGAAGTCAGAACTCCTGAACAGCATACCTCAGTTATATAACTCAAAAAGTATTGATGCCACTAGAATAATGTGACAGCCAGGCAACTCTGAAGGATTGATTTGATAAAGGCAAACAGACCATTCACTTTGCAAGGGAAATTTCCCCAGGGCTTAGTGAATGAGGTAAGGCTTTGCTAATTTCCATCATCTGATCATGTGCAAGAAAAAAATGTGTACATTACTTGCACATGATTAGGCATCCTTTTCAAAGTGAATTTTTGCCAAATTTAAGAAGCAAAGGGAAAAATTCCCTTGCAAAGTGAAAACTCTTTTTGCCTGCTGGCTAGCTTTAGCCAGATTATCATTGCTATGTGTTGTTCTTTGCACTCTGCATCAGTTTATTAAATTAGAAAACAGGAAGACTCTGGGGTTGATTTACTAAATCTGGAGAGTACAAAATCTGGTGCAGCTGTGCATGGTAGCCAATCAGCTTCTATCTTCAGCTTGTTCAATTAAGATTTAATGAAAAAAAAAAAAAATGAAAACTGATTGGTTTCTATGCACAGCTGCATCAGATTTTGCACTCTCCAGTTTTAGTAAATCAACCCCAATGTGTTACTCCATAGCTGTAAAAATGCTTTTCATTTTCATGTATGGTATGGCAGATGAGATGACCATTGCAATTGATGGCCTTGGGAAGTGAAGTGTCAGTATTTCCAGGTATGGTGTGGTCATGTGTCTCCTCTCTGACCTACTTCCTACCTCACAACGCTGATGCAATGTCACTTATGCATGTTGACCAACTGAACATCCAGGCCAGTGCTCTCACATGGAGCTGGGGAGAGTCCCTAGCCCTGTCCAAGATCCAAGTTGCTTCTTCTCCTGACAGCCAAATGGAATTAAAACAGCTTTGCAGGTCAGCATTAATGTGAAACTGAAGAAATTGCCATGTATGGGCAAAGTACAAGTTTGTAGCAAGTGTATTTTTGGTCAAAATCTAAAAAAAAACCATTGAGCTCTAATACATTCATATTTAATGCTGTACGTAATGAAATATACCTGCTGATGCTATTAGAAATGCAGTCAGCTGCCAACTTACTGTATTGGGCTTACAATGCTGCACTGAACAGCAGGCAACTGGTATAAGAGGGAAGTGAGGGCTAGAAAAGGAGGAGCTATGGAGATGAGGTTTGCTGGCACAATCCAACAGACAGAACTGACAATGCTGCTTGAGATTTCAGTGCAGCATTGGAAGTATTGTCAGCCCACTACAGGAAATTGGAAGCTGACTACATTTTTTGGCAGAACCAAAATATAGGGAAATGTGCATGTATTGGAGAACTATTTTGAATTTTTTTTTCTCCACACATACACTGTAGGAGCATGTAATAAAATGTGTACATATTTCAAGCGGTAAGCAAAACATTTTATGTTTGCGTTAAACATTATCCTTGATTCAGATGTTCCAGCACTGCCCCTTTACATTCCACAATGCTAGAACTCCAACTTGGTGCCCATGTTGAGAACAATGTACAGAGGAGCATTCTCAACTAAGAGCTCCTTGGGAGAACAGAAGATGTTTTGCTGACAATAAAAGACATGCACAGTCACCTTTTGGGGGTAACTAGTTTATACATCCTTAGATTCATGACAAGTTCACTTTGAAGAAAGAGCTTCTTTTATATAGAAACAGTTTCTGTTATGTGGTTTCAAGTAGATAACACAAGCTCTTTCTCTCTGTGAAATAAAAAGAATAAATACATGTAACAGGCCCATAGCTGCTGTAATTGAGCTATAGCAGTTTCAATGTAGCTTCAAAAACAGACACACATCCGGCATTTGAACTATAGGGTCATCAATAGCTATGTTGGTAATGAGTATTTAATGAAATGGTTTCATCCCTACCTTAGTTAATGGTATCCATGTAGAGGTAGAAGAATTTTCAGATGCCATTCTTGTTGGGCCTGTGTCATTGTTCTGATTTTGACATCCAGCATTCTCTTTAGGATCAGTCTCATTAGAAGTAGGAGTAAGATACATCACGCCTGAATGAGAGGAACTGAGAGGAAGTCTGGACTGACAATCAAAATACATCGGAGATGTGACTAGTAATGGACAGCTCACAACATTCATTGCATTTTTTTCTTCCACTTCACTCTGGACAAGCATAATATCATTTTTGTTTATATTTCTTTTTTTTTCATTTTTCCTAATTTAGGCTGAGAGGTGTAGGCTCTTGCCCTACCGCTGTAGGATCCAACGTCTTTGTTCTCCTTTTTACATTTAACAACTATTGTGACCATTGCCGCAAAAAGGATTATAGAAATTGCACTCAGGGCAACCAAAACAGGTAAGTAGATATCCCAGTCCCGTTGTTCTCCAATCACATTATCATCTTCATAACACCCTAAACAGTCTGAATTTGCCTTTATGATGAGTTTTGCCACAGTTGAAAGTGATGGTTTTCCATTATCAGTGACTTTGATTATTAGTTCAACCACTGGGGCAATATCCTCCCAATGTGGGTTGATCAATCTGATCTCTCCAGTCACTGGATCTATTTCAAAGAGATTTTCTTTACTTTCTTGAATTATTTCATAAGTTACTCGCCCACTTTCGCCAAAGTCAATGTCCATCGCTCTAACAGTGCTAATAACATATCCCATGCCTACATTGCGTGGCACATAAATTTCTGCGGTGTCATTCTGCAAGCTGGGTAGAATAATGACTGGTGCATTGTTATTGACATCTAAAACAGATACTCTGACAGTGGCATTGCTTTCTAAATGCGGAGTGCCTAGGTCCTTTGCAATTACTTTAAATTCAAAATATTTTGTTAGCTCATAATAGAAAGTCCTTAGGGCATAAATTGCTCCATTCCTTGGATTAATGGACACATATGTGGAGATAGACACACTGTCAATATATGAGGGAAATATGGAATAAGACACAGTTCCATTTTGCCCTAAATCTGGATCTTGTGCAAGAACTGAACCAAGGTACTCTCCGGGGATATTATTTGCAGAAACTTGCAATGCATACATAGATTTCGAAAAAATTGGAGGGTTGTCATTTTCATCCAAAATCCTTACAGTGAAAGAATTTGTAGAATCTAGCGAGGGGTTGCCATTATCTCGAGCAATGATAGTTACATTGTATTCATCTTGTATTTCACGATCAAGAGGCCTACTAGTTACAACAGTGTAGAAGTTGTCATAATTATCTTCAAGTTTAAATGGGACATTGCCCAAGACCCAGCACTGGAATTGACCATTTTTTCCAGAATCCTTATCAGTAACCCTAACTAAGGCTATAACAGTACCAGGAGGAGAGGCTTCACTAATTGCTCCCTGACGGACAGACACAAAACTGATAGCTGGATAGTTGTCATTTATGTCAGTAACTAGAACAGTCACTTTGCAATGCACAGGAATTGGGTTTGGTCCTTGGTCTTCAGCCTGCACATCAATTTCAAGCATCTGAATGTCTTCATAATCAATATTGCCCTTAACCTGTATCACCCCAGTCAGAGAATCAATAGAAAAAAGGTCCCATACTTGTTCAGATGCATAGCCACTGAATGAAAAGAAGATATCTGCATTAGAGCCTTCATCTGGATCTGTAGCATTGAGATCAATTATCATTTTACCTAATGGTGAATTCTCAGCTATTTCAACAGTATATGATTTTGATTCAAAAACAGGACTGTTGTCATTGGCATCAATAACCTTAATGTTTATCTGCAGATTGGCTGATCTTGGAGGGTTACCTCCATCGAAGGCAGTTAGAATAAGTGTATGATGAGACTGTTCCTCTCTGTCCAGTGCTCTCTGAATAACTAACTCAGGAACTTTTGTACCATCCCCTCTAGATTTGATATCCAAGGAAAACAAGCCAGAATCACCTCTTATCTTATATGTCCTCAGGCCATTGCTTCCTAAATCAGGGTCTTGTGCTGTCGTTAGAGGAAATCTGGTACCTGGTGAGGCATTTTCTGAAATATCAATATCAATCTGATCAGATGCAAATTTAGGAGAGTTGTCATTTATGTCAAGTATTTCAACCTTGATCATACATATTTCCTTCTCATTTGCAAAAACTTCTAGAGAAAGTATACACTTAAGACTGTTTTTGCACAGAGCTTCCCGATCAATCCGTTGCTTAGTGTACAGTAACCCACTGTTCGAATCAACATCCAATAAGTGAGGAGCAGAGTTCTCCAGCACCCTAAAATTAGGTCTTTTGCCTCTTTCTGGTGGCTCCAGCTGTGCATCATTAATATTGCCTATGGCATTTCTTGACCCCCCTTCTTCTGAAATTGAATAATTCAAAGTTTTCAAAGCTTGAACAGAAGCCCAATATAAAAAGTAAAAAAAGGCAAAGCGGCACATCCCAAACACTGGCTGTTTATCAGTTAGCTATTTTTTGTTGTCACTAAAGTCACAGTCAAATGAAAAACTAATAGAGAAGGCAAGCCTCCAGTGATCTGCCACATGAGGGCAGTTATGACAGCATTAAGAGATTGATTTCACTTTCCAAGAAATCAAGTATTTCAATCTTGGACGGTTTAAAGCAGATGATAACTATCTCATCCAAAGAAGATTAGACAGACTGCAATTTACACGTTCTATTCTTATGTATGATTGAGGAGCTTGAGGGAAAAAAATGGTGCCTAGCAAAAAAAACATTGTTATTAGAGGGAGAGGTTGGGAAAGTAGCTGTAAACTTTCCAACAGAGAAGAGCTATAAAAAACAAAAAAACACAAAATGCACTCACAAAATGCCAAGTTGTCAGCTATGCCTTTAAAACAACTGTCAATTGCATCACATTATCTCTATTTGCAAGCAGAATTTCATGAATATTAAACGCTGTGGGGATTTGCAGACGATCTGGACAAAATCCAAAATGCAAGGACCCATCAAAGATGATCATCAATTGCTATGTATAACAATCACGGCTTGGTTTAGTCATTTCATTCTTAGGCTTTTTTTCTATTTTTTAAGGCCAGTAGCCACATCAGCTTACAACCGACAATTGTATTCAGTTAAATTCCAGTTTTCGTTCTACAGTCTGGAACAAATCAACAGGCAAAGCATGCTGGATGCACAGATTATAAAACGGTAGCAAAAAAAAAAAAGATGAAATCACAGTTGAATAGAGAACAGTTGCTGCATTCATAGCCAGATTTGCTTTAACTGTTCCTCTCTCATTTTGTTGCCGATCATGTTATCACTTCCTCCCCGCAGTCTTCAACAAATGGTTAAATTAAAAAATCTGGATGAAAGCAGTCCTCATTTTCACAAGTATTTAGGTATATTCGACAATTATTATTGTAAGTGGCGAACACAAGCAATCAATAGCTGCAGATTCCCAATGGACTCCACATTAAAGCAAGAGCCGCAGTGACTAGTGCTTATTCTGGATGAAGAACGCTAAACATCTTATGAATTCAATTTCATTTTCGACAACAAAACAGCTGTCATTATTGAAATAAGTTAGAACGCAGTCATAACATGCACAATAGCAAATTGGCTTCTAGATAAATATTCCATGTCTTGATTTTAAGGCAATGAGCTTAGAATTTTCTATATGGAGCTGTGACTCACCATCTTTCTGTACAAAATGCAATCTGCAAAGATACAAAAGTATATATGGTGATATGTTGCAGTTGTGAAGGTGAGAATCGGTTTTTACTTACTCTAGGATCCTTGCACGAGAGAGATGCAGTGAATAACAAAACACAGTTATCCAAGCAGTTCCCGGGATTAAAAATTCTCTTCAGCTGTTGTGCATATAAATGCCACACATCTTGTGAGTAAAATAATACAGCAGGCTCTGAGCAGGAAAAGCACAAGCAATTCTTTGAAAAGGCATGGATATGAGTTGAATTTTTTTCCCCATCTGCTATTTTCCTCCCAAGTCCTAGACAAAACGCTGCTATTTCTGCAATCTGCAGCAGCCCTTGTGTTTGCCTCTGCTGGTACTTCAGTCGTTCATTCACAGGATTCAGAAGAATCTGCACTACGAAACGTTAGATTTGGAAGACGGCAATAGACCCAAAGCTAGGCAACACATTGGAAGTTGCTAAAATTCAACAGTTTAGAGGTGCCTTAAATCCTCTGATCCTCCATTTGCCATACGCCAACCTTCACTCTCAGTTCTTCTCTTTGACTGACTTAATTTCTTGTCTCTCTTGCTCGTTCTCTCTCGTTTTCATTTTTTTTTTTTTTTTAAAGAAGGTCTAAGAGAAAAAGATTAGCTTGTTACTGCCACCTACTGGCTTTGACATAGCAGCTCACTGCCTTAGTCCTTCACCACTCATTTACACAGTTATATACTTGGGAGAGCACCTCATATTGCCATAAGGTATTCTCTTCTGCTAGGTATCTGAAATCCATTTGTACCACCTCATCCTGTATATCCACTGTCTCAGAAACATCACTGCGGAGTATTATACTGTACTACCACATGAAAGGCTGCAGCTCAACAGCTGACATACATGGCAGCAACCTGTTCTGTCAATTAAGCCCTTAGAATAAAGTGGATTTCCACAAAACAAATTCACACTATCTACTGTATATGGCAGTAAACACAGTCACAACACATATATGAATTTAAATCTTATATGTCATCACATTCGGTTATTATTACAAATCAGCACCGTACTAACAACGCAAATTATGCCTTTCGTTTTTTTTGTTTACAGTAATTAAATCACCAAACCTCAAATCCATTATTTTTTCACAGTGATGCCTTCTTGCTTTTAATTCCCAATATATAATCATACATTCTGCCGTTGTCGTTGCTACCTTTTAAATCCTAATCTGTTTTTTTATCAGAAGCAATTGCACACGTGCCCTTAGCAGGGTTAGATCAATTTCAATTCCAAGGTGCATTAACTGTTTAACCTTTTGCAAGCTAAAGGGGGCTGTGATGCAGTGCAGATAAATACTGTGCAAGCCCCATCTGACAGTAAAATTCATACAGGTTTGTAGTCCGGTCTGATCTCACGCTTGAAGGTTTAGGATTGGATGGTTGTAAGAACAAGCAATTAATTTTCCTCTTAAAGCTTAATGTCCCATGCCCAAATCGGCCTCTCATTCTAGCCACTGTTATTGATGCAGTGATTGTTTTAAACTGCATCCTTCTTGTTTCATAACCAAGCCGCTGAAGGATATAGAACAAGCTGCTAAAGGATATCTTGGAAATGAAATAAGATGCATTTTAATATCCAGCCTAATGCAATAATGGTAAAATAAATAAAACTTACTGCATTTTATTACAATGGTGCCCGGTGACAGAAGACTTACAGGAAGTTTGAATTGATTAAAGGAAAGCTGCTACAAAACATGCTATTTATCTTCCTGGACAAGAGTAATGAAATTAACAGTATTAGACTATCGAAGCTCTGAAAAGCTGAGAAAGCAGCAAGTAGTGCAAGCAGGATTGTCTTCTCCCTTCAGCATCAGTATTCTGAATGCCTTCAGTTCTGTGATGTGGAAACCATTTACATAGTGATGGATTTTTTTCATAATATCACTGCATATGCTAGGGTATAATTCCCATAGAAAATATTTCATGTTAATCGTATTGTAACCAATTTGATCCCCACTAGCACCTTTAATCACTCCTCACCATTGTAACTGCATTAAATGAAACACACATTCTGTTAAAGAGTCTGCCTTGCTTGTGAAATATCATGCAGACAGGCGGCAATATTCATTGCGGGGGTGCTGCCTAAGCCATAGTATATCTAAGAACAAAATCTGCTAATGGTGGGAGTAAGCCAACTAACTTCCAGGAATTCCCAGGATATGTATTTGTGGATCCCATCCCCCTGTGCTATTTCTGATGCATAATTATTATTATAGATGTAACACAGTTTTGTTCTATTCTAGGCTAGCTGCACTAATTTAACTACAGTAAAGAATTATGAACTCTGTATAAATGCACACGTCTGTATCAGTATGAACACACAGGCACGTCTATAATTCAACAGTAGACAAATCAATGTAAACTGCAGCAATCTGTCAGCCTAATCTAGGAGCCAACAAGCAAATTTCAGAAGCCAGGAAAGCCAAAAGTGAGAATTTTCTTGACATTATGGTTTAAAACCTTATGTCCAATCTGTTACTAATAGCATGTAATACCTCGGATGTCCATTTATATTCAAAGAGCCCTAACATCCCTCAGCCTGTCATTGATTTTTACAGACTACATGACTGTGGCTGTTCACAAACACCT